TATCTGGTGGGTGGTGGTGCTGTTCGTGCCAGCTCCTCTGCTGGGGAGCTGCTGATGAGCAGGAGTCGAGTTGCTGTGGTGCAGTCAGGGGCTGGTCCACCCCGAAAAAGTCATGTTTTAATTAATTGTCAATGTTTCTAACATATGGGGACAGTTTTTCCCCGGGCCCAGCTGGTCTGCAGGCTTGAGGTCACTGGAGTTCCGTCAGGGAGAATTTCCTCGTCGTCTTCCTAGCAGTTCTAGATTCTGTCTGCTGTGCGTGCTTAACGCTGGGCCTTTCTCCTCATTCTTCAGCACTGGAGGATGTGGAATCCTCTTAAAAAGAAATATCTTAAATCATTTGGAAAATATCATTATGAAATTATCTGCACAGAGTGTTGCTTTTACAGTGGTTTTTGCTGTTGATTTCAGATGAAAAAAAACAGGAAATCATCGTTAACCTCGGCGAAGCAATGAACAGGAGATTTGCCGCTCAAAGTACATCGTGCAGAAGTCGGGCAGGCTTTGGACCTCGCCTCATTTTGGGTCACTGATTATTAGCAGGACAGATGTTGCCTGGAGGGTCTCAGGTGGTGCTGAGTAGCAAGAGTCTTTGCTGTTCCCCATGGCAGTGGTTGCTTCCTGGTCAGGCTCCTCGTCAATGAATGTCGCTGGTGGTCTCCTTCCCAGGGCGTGCTGGCAGCAGCGGCTGCAGGGGCACGGTTGGTGGGTCAGCGTTCTCCTGGGACAGCCTGGAGAGGGTTCCACTCTTCTTGTCTGCTTGTGAACGGGCGCTTGAGTTTCCCAGGCTGTAAATCCAGCCTATTTTACTAATAGGTAATTACTTTATGATCTTATGATCATGTGAGGAGCAGCAGAAGCTGCTCGCATAGCTGTTTGCTGTCCCGTAAACTTGCCGAGTATTTGAATACTCTGAGTTAGGCAGTTGCTGTGTACAGTGTGGGAGGATGGTCAGTGCCTATGGTCCCAGCCTTTTTCTTGAACGAGACGTGCTTCTGTGGGGCGAATCATCTTGGAGATGCCGTGGTTTTACAGAATCACAGAATCACAGAATAGTAGGGGTTGGAAGGGACCTCTGTGGGTCATCTAGTCCAA